GTGGGATCGACCGTCACATTATAACGCCCCATGGCTGAAAGAGCGAGCATGTTTGGTGTGACGAGGATTCGAACCCACGACCCTCAGATTGCAAGTCGAGTGCCCTAACCACCTGGCCATGCCGGGCCTTTTAAGAATAATAAAACAAAACACTTTTCAGGGTTAATGATGATAGTGTAACTCTTCAAAATCGTCTAATTCATTGACAAGCTGTAAATCCAAAAATTAAGACTCGTATTTCCTTCTTGTCGAAATTGAAAATGTTGGTGATGAGAAAATACATTGTATTTTGTTAGACATTTAGCCTTCTGCCGATGAGCTTAGAGAAGTAGATTATTGTTATTATAATATTATTTATTCTTTGGATACCTTTATAAATAAAGGTTAATTGTGGTGAGTAAAGGACACTCCAAACCCCATGTATATGATTTTTGAATTGTTTTGTGATGAGTTAAATTAAACATTTTAATAATGCTCAGTATTTCTGATGTAAATTACTTGATAACCCACATGATTATTTAAGTATATTCTTATTACTCTAATCTGGTGTATTTAGTTCCTGGAGGAAGTGGTTTATATTTCGACCCATTCCGCAAGCCCAAGAGGATCAGAACTGCATTCTCTCCTTCTCAACTCCTCAAACTGGAACATGCCTTCGAAAAGAATCATTACGTAGTGGGTGCTGAAAGAAAACAGCTTGCTCATAGTCTAAGTCTTACTGAAACTCAGGTATGGTTGAAACAAAATTTAAGCCTTATTGAAACACAGATATGGTTCAAACAAAGTCTAAGTCTAACTGAAATTCAAGCATGGAACTCTGTCCATCCCTCTAAAATGCGTGGTTCATGCACACACGACTATATTAAGCTACAGATTAAGTCCCTAGCTCAACTTACTTATCAACATAGTTATTTTCGGTAAATAAAACTTGGGAAATCTTTGTTTTGCTATTCACAATATTTCTCTGTTCTCACTCTTTATAAATTTGATTCAGTAAAATTACGTTTATATAATGAAGAAATTCCTTGTATAGCATTCCATACGCCTAACATAACTAAAAAAACATGTGTTGCATTCAAACCGATCTCGTTTCCCACTCAGAAAAATGGCAGTGCATGTTTAATAGGTTCACCTGCCTATCAAAACCATGTAGAAGCAAAAAGTAACGTCTTTATCAATGTGGTATTGTATGTGAGAGATAGCGTGATAAGTTGACTTATCTAGGGTCGTTTTGCAACCAGACCCGTTACTTGTCTTAACAGTAGTCTCTATAAAAAAACAAAAGAGTGAGCTTAACGAATTTTATAGTGCAACAGATGTTTGTAGGGATTTTCATTTAAAACTATTTAATTTAATGCAAACGATTTTAAATCTAGGTTATTCCCTAATTGTTTTTGTTTGTTTGTTTGTTTCCTCAACTCAGTATGTATGGGCTGAGCATGCAGGTGAGCATCTTGCAAAGGCAGATCGTTTTGTTAGACAAAACTACGCGGCGCGTTTAGAAGGATGTATGCCTAAGGGATCTGTTGTTACTAGGCTTACGATCACTACACAGTACTCTAGATTCAAGCCTTGTTTGTAAATAGTGAAGTTGACTTCTGATTAGACCGGAGCGCCTAGGAACCAATTTCCAACGCCCAGCATATGTTTGTGTATATTAGCGTGGTTCCAGCACCTGCCTTAGTGAAGTTGAAAAGAATTAACCATAATCTCACTGTATCCTGTGAGAAAAACTAATAATTTTTAAAGACTACGTTTTGCCAACAAAAAACTAAAAGGAAGCCTGTTGTTATAAATTATGTGATTATCTTGGACGATATAACGAGTTTATGTTCATTTTACTGCGAATAAATAAATAATATTTTACCAGCTTTTGCATTGCTAAGAGAATACTCGATATATGTTTCATCACTAAATGTACGTTTAAATACATGTTAAAAAAACGTTGGTGTTTCTGAGTCACTTAAGACCAACTACTATAAAAATGGGTTCAAAATATGAAAGATATACTAGTTATCAATTTCTGAGATACTATTATACAGGTTATACTTTTGGAAATACTCCGACTCTCTAGCTGTGCCTTAATTCTAACTTTCCTTTGATCCATATATATTATATTCTATTCATAAATACTCTGATTTTCGAGGCTAAGAAAATATCGCTATGCTTTTAATCTGTTTACTGTTGATTTAATTATTGGTTACATTTTGGTTCGTTGTTTTGTCTTCAATTGATATATAACCTCTTATGCCCTAGTGTGAAACTCCCTAAACTTATCGTTGAAGCGACAATGTTTTCACTAACTTTACTGGCGTTATTTGGTGACGTATAGTTTCTCATTTCACCATGCACGAAACATGATACTTGTGGAACATTTAAAGATATCAGTAAATGTTTTACGTGATACCATAATTTAAAAATCAATATAGAGTGAACTTAACTAAAACGTTGACTTAATCAATTCCGTTTTTAGTGTAAAGAATTTTAAAACCGACTCAACGTACTTCTACTTTGGAGTAAATGTTTTTTTCAAGACGACCGAAGTTACTCCTTCTGTAGGCTAAAGAAGCTACTCCTTCTGTAGACTAAAGAAGCTACTCCTTCCGTAGACTATAGAAGCTACTCCTTCTGTAGACTAAAGAATTTAAAAAAAAACCTAGCCTAATCCTTGTTTAAAATAAATCGTTTTAAAAATAACTTAGCTTATTCCTATTTTAGAACACAGACATGAAAAACAAGTTAGCCTACGCCTTCTTTAGTAAAGAATATTAGGATCAACTTTAACAGTAGAACAGCTAATTAATATCAAATAATAAAACAAAATGAAAAGGTGTCAGCTGAAACGGTAACAAATATGCATTTCTGTTGTTTAGGTTGATACTAATTACCTAATAAAAATTAAGACATAAATAGAAAATGCTTTCTATTGGATCGAAGAAAAAACAACTTAAAAAGAGTGTTGACATGGTTTATGGCTTTGATTCATTAAGGACATTTAATTTAATCTTAATATGGAATATAAAAAAGGACATGGAGTAAATACATTTAGCACCATCTTAAAGAGGAATATTGGAAATAGCACAGAATATTTAAAACAATCTTAATATTAAATATAACACAGAATACATTTAATATCATCTTAATATTGAACATCTTATATATATTGCGAACCGTGGCATCTGTCCATACGTTCGTCTGTCTTCCGTTTGCAGGCAAAGCTCAGCGTTCATTTTTGAAATGACGGGAGAACAGGTATGAATAATGTTGATGCTAAATTTTAATTTGCAAACAGAGTATTCTACACTGAACTATTAGAAAGCAATGACACTATAATTCACATTTCAAAATGTGACGTAACTCATTGTTGGACAGCTCTTAGCATGACTGAAATGCTCAACAATTACTTTTCGCGGTGGACGGTATAAGTAGCTCAGAGCTTTTGGCTCTGAGTGATACCAAGAGTGCAACACAATTAACCTTTCTAAAGTCCATAAAATAAGTTAAATTGATAGATTAGCTTAAACGTTTCCCTCACTGGGGACGGGTACTTTTGTTTGTTTCAAATAACACAGAATACATTTAACAGCATTTTAACGAAGAACATGGAATATAACATAGAATGCATTTAACAAACACGTTAATAATAAACATTGTAAATATCACAGAATACATTTAACGCCATTTTACTGATGAACACTTAAAATAACTAAGGATATATTTAATACCATCTTAATACTAAATATTCTAAGTATCAAAGAATACACCTAACGTCATTTTAATATTGATCATCAGAAATAAGGCATAACACATGTAACAACAATCTTAACAGTGAACATAGAAAAGAATACAGAATGAAAATACTTTGTTGTATGACATGAAAAGTGTCAAGAAAGAATGATATTGTCAGGAGCTCGGTTTGAATGTAAACTTCTTACATTGCTGAAGCAATCGAATAATTTAACAACATGAAATAATTATCCTACATAGCAAGAAAAAATATTAAGGCAACAGTACTTTTTTAAAAAATTGCAAATCGTTACTTCACAGCTTTTGTACAAAATATAATCATGGTGGACTATCAGAATGCTTATCTTCTACATGGCCTTGTGGTTAGCATGTCGGAGAGCGAATCGAAGGGTACAGGGTTCGAGACATGATGCTACTGAGCCCGCTTCACTTCTTCTTCATCTGGATTCGGTCCATGTTTTGGACCAGGGAGAGTTAGGTTCAGCGTTGACCTCTTCACATTACCAACTGTGGACGCTGTTTAAAGATGGCGGTCAATCCCTATATTCGGCTCAAACAGCCAGACAATGCCCATGCAGTGACGGGTGCTGTGAGCTGACTGCCTTCTCTTTGGTTAGTAGTTCAACAGTAGGGACGGCTATACCTTCCTGAATCCTAGAGGTACTAACCTAGCCGTTAGATTTTGTGTGCAGAAAGTGCTGTTGATATTCAGTAGTACAATTATGTCTTTAGATGTGTCTAGAATCACCGAACAAGTGTTTATTATTCTTCACATCATTTAGAAAACAAAACACATTTATTTACTTAAATAAATGGATCAACTAGGCTACTATCATTTTGTTGAATATTTTATTTTTATTTTTCCAATAGAAGGACAAAACTATTAATTTCATATTCATATAAAAAATAAACCTTATTATAATCACTCTCCAGGACTTATAAAGCTAAATTCAGGGTTCGATCCCTGCTTATGGCGAGCATAGATAGTCTATTGAACAGCTTTGCACTTAACCAAATTTTCATTAAAGTTAGTAATAATGAACATGCAAGTTTGGTCATATTGAACAACAGTGATTACACCGTCTCGAGCACATATTCTTGATTACGTTCATCACTGATTACACTACATTGATCATGTTCGTTAATAATGAACACATATTATAGATTATGTTTAATAATGATTACGAACATTGCATCTAGCTGTGGCTTTCTTGTAAAAAATACGCCTTATTCACTATGGATGATGATCGGAACAACATCACAAGCATAATAAACTTGTTCTAATACACTTGAAGTCATCGTTGTTATTAATTAATCTTATGAATCTGAGCCGGGCATGGCTTAGTGGTCAACATGCTCTGGACTGTGTAACATAGAAGTTATTGCCTGCGTCCCATTGTCGCAAAACTCTCCGCACTTTGGGGTTTTAGATGCGTTACAAGTACGAAGATCAAATTCACCTATTCGGTTAGACAAAAGGACCCAAAGAGTCAGCAGTGGATATCGACTGTCTTCTCTCATTTCAAAATTAGGGACATCTATGTGTAGGTTGCGCAGGTAGCCCTTGTATTGCTCCGTGCGAATATTCTATAACAAAAACCACAGTTTATAAATCTGTAAGATGATGTAAGCTTTCTGGGCCCAAGAAATAGTTTCATAGTAAAACTGAATGCCATGTAGGAGAAATTTCATTTTTCCTCTCTTGAGTCCGTTAATTTAGCCATAAATTTGAACCTGTGGAAAAATTTCCTATGAACCTTTTCCCCTAGTGATACGATTTCATGATGCAGAGAAATACACGAAATATGCAACTAAGTGCTTCGAATAATTTAATAGTAGATGTTAAATGTGTAGAAAAATAAACACTACTCAGTGAATTTCAATGATATCATTTCAGTATAAATTCAGTAGTTGGTGTTATTACTCTGAACGATATCTTATCCAATCTAATCGTGTTAGGTATTTAGGTTTAATAACTCAGG